TTAGACTCGCCGAGTCGCTATAGTGCACTCGCCGAGTCCGGTCAAAGTTGACCGTTGACCATTGACCAGTGTTGACCTATGTTGACTTGTTAAGGGATAGTCAACCTTAGTTGGGAAAGTGTTAATTAGAGATGTATTATGTTATAGGAGGACTATAGCTCGGGAAATCGAGCACTAGTGATTTCAGGGATTTACGAATTATCGAGATACGCGACGTGAGTCTTCTCACTATACTTTACCTTGAGTATGTAACCAGAGTTATATGACAGAGTATTTGTATGCTATGTATGTTATGTGTTGTACTGCATTATTTCTATGTGATTTATGCTTTGCATGTTTACAGAGTTAGAACCGGAAGGTTCACAGAGTTAGAACCTGAGGGTTCACAGAGTTTGGGTGCACGGACCCACAGAGTTATAGCCTCGAGTGGCTAATATGTGTTATATGTGATATTTTGGGGAACTTACTAAGCTTTGTGCTTACAGTGTTTGATGTTATTTGTTTCAGGTACTAGTGACGACCGCGGGAAGGCGCCGGCTTGATCAGTACACACGCATGGGGTTTATGATTTTAAGATCTTGTGATTTTGTATTACTTGGATTGAATGATTAAATATGGTTGTTTTCTGAATATTAAATGAATTATATTTTATAAAAATTTGAAAATTTTGTTTTGAAATTTATGGTGTTACAACTTGAATTGTTAGCAAAGTCCTTTTGAGTTGCCCTCAAATCTAATAATTGAATATGATAACTTTTAGAGATAGAGATTGATTTAGTGATTTATTATATTATTAATAAATAGAAATAAATGACTTATTAATATATTATGAGAATAGTAGATTAATTAGAAATAATATTATTTAATTAAGAAATAATTAGAATTAGTTTTGGGATTAATTTGATTAATTAATAGTGCAATGACTTAAGCTATAATTGTTCAATAGTTGAACAAAAGGGTTTCAGAACCTTACCTATAGGAGGTGGACGGTTTTTGGGGAATATTCGAAGGTTTCTAGATTATCCCTTAAAGATAATTAGGAAACCAGATAATTACCTGGTTTGTAATATTATTATTTTAATCAATACAGGTTATCTAGGATTTTCTTAACAGCTATAAATAGGGCCTTACACCCTTTATGTTTTAATCACCGCTTCTCTCAAAAGATAGCCGAAAATATACATCCCCTCTCATCTCTCTTCAAGTTTCCTAGTTGCTAAGGTTTGGGTGTGAACCATCAGAACCACGAGATTTCTGGTGCTTGCTTCCAAGAGCTATTGAAGAAGAATTTGATTAGTTATTTACAACAATAACTAAAATATATGTAAACCGTAACATTTATGTTTTTCGAAATTATTATGGTTTCCATAAGGTTCTACTATGAAATGCGTTATATAAAAAGATGTTCAAAATTGGAACTAATTCGAATCAGAACCGAAACCAAAAACCGAATAGTTCATAATACCGAAGATTATGTAACAACTTTCCTTGAAGTAGTTCATAATACATGGTAAATCACGATCTCTGTAGGCATTAGTATTTTCTATATATATCGTTTAAGAAAATATCAACTTCTACTTCTTCTATGTATATGGTGTATTGTATCGGTTTGTTTTTATTCTTATCCTCAACTTCGAGTTTATATACACAACTAATTTCGAGTACTCAAGTCTTTGCTACATTTATTCGCTAGTTAATTCTGAAATTGATCGGACAAACGTGAGAATTAAATGACTCACGCGAGAAATTAATAGCTTAAATATCTGAAAATATGATTTCACTATTTATTTATTTTTTGAAAGCGGCAAATAAATATATATTAATATCACTAATTAGCGCGGGTTATTTTCCCGTATTCGTAATTGTTTTGTTTTTAGCAAAATAATTATACATATATTAATTCACAAACGGGTTGGTGAACAGGAACTTTTAATAAATTAGAATTTTGCCACATGATTACTCCTTTTTACATATCTACCACATTAATTTTTGCTTTACACGGTTCTAACCCCTGTTCTTTAACTGATTTAACACATTGGACACACCCACCGCCTTAATCTTTCCTTCTTTATTTGTTTTTCCCACGTAAGGTCAAACGTTCCTTCACCATTCGTCAAACCTTCCTGCTGCTTCTCAACTCTTCTTCCTTTTTCTGTCGATCAGTTCTTCAGGTTTGTTTCTGTTCTTCGTTGTGTATTGTGTGTTTTTCGTTTCCTCTTTGCATCATGGCTCTTCCTTCCACTTCCCGTTTGGAATTCCGACAAGGGGTTTCGTCGTCGGCTTGCAGGTGACGACGACGTCGAGTTGACGGCAGAGAAAGACTGGGCATTCATGATGCAGAAAAAAGAAGAACAACTTCTTCTTCTATGATGACATCTGCAGCAGATTCAATGGCCTCGAGGAGCGTGGAAAATACTTAATAAAGCACCTTAGCAAGACATGACTATGAATCCATTGCATCATAATAAATTATTATTTTTTCTCCGACTTTTGAATTGTCGAAGCAAGAACTTTATGCGAGAGTCGAAGCACCAAAGGGAGAATTGGGAATTTTTCTGATAGGAGATAAGGGTGTTTTTCCTTGGCGCTATAAAATTCGCCCACCGGGGTTTATTAATTTGCAAATTCTTCCTCAGTTAGTTAAAAGAATGAAATTGGCTGATATTATGACGATACTAGGTACTATAGATATCATTATGGGAGAAGTTGATCGTTAAAATGACAATTGATACTCTCACTCATTGCTTACATTCGAGAAGTAGCAGATCGTATTGAAGCAGCTCAGACGAAATTAGAAGAAGCTTCGCATTTTAACCTAATTAATCAAATGCGAACCACAAAATTTTCATTCCAGATGCGAACACAGTTTAGTTCTTGAACTCTAAACTTGCGAAATCAAAAATTCATATGTTGAACCCATATGCGAATATTAACCCAATTGACTTCAAATTGATTCACAGATGCAAACACTCGATTGTTTTACTTTCGCAAAATGAGCATCAACAACTCCACAATCGAGTTTTTAAATTCTTGCAAACAACAATTTCACAGTCCTTGACTTCGCGTTTTTCTTCACAAATCATCCCTCAATCATCAATCCAATTGCGAATCAAAACTCATATGTTCTTGCTTTATCGATTCATCGACTACACTCATACAAATGCGAACAATACTCAATTTCAAAATCGATTGAAACTACTGGTCCCAAATGCGAACAATACTCAATTTCAAAATCGATTGAAACTACTGATCATCAATGTGTATGTGTATGTGTAAAAATAAGCTTCTCTTACGTATGTCTGTGTGTATCTCTTTAAAAATTGTGCAATTTCATCATTTTATGACCCCCATTTGCGAAGTTGAATATTTATTTCCAAAAATGCGAAACTCCAGGGACAATATTTGAAAATTTCTGTTTTCTTCTCCAATTCGCATTCTACTGTGAAATACTTCGCATCTTCATTCTTACACCCTTCGCATCCATTCGCATTAATCACCTTCGCATTTTAACCTAATTAATCAAATGCAAACCACAAAATTTTCATTCCAGATGCGAACACAGTTTAGTTCTTGAACTCTAAACTTGCGAAATCAAAAATTCATATGTTGAACCCATATGCGAATATTAACCCAATTGACTTCAATTGATTCACAGATACAAACACTCGATTGTTTTACTTTCGCAAAATGAACATCAACAACTCCACAATCGAGTTTTTAAATTCTTGCAAACAACAATTTCACAGTCCTTGACTTCGCGTTTTTCTTCACGAATCATCCATCAATCATCAATCCAATTGCGAATCAAAACTCATATGTTCTTGCTTTATCCATTCATCGACTACACTCATACAAATGCGAACAATACTCAATTTCAAAATCGATTGAAACTTATAGCAAAGCTAAATCCAACTTCGCATTCAAAGCAGTGTTATTGATTGCATTCATGAAATACTAACAAGATAATATATTATAATACAAATATACATATTTTAGGTGGTGAAATCGTAACAGCCTAACAATTTGGTATTTTCATTCCAGATGCGAACACAGTTTAATTCTTGAACTCTAAACTTGCGAAATCAAAAATTCATGTGTTGAACCCATATGCGAATATTAACCCAATTGACTTCAAATTGATTCACAGATGCAAACACTCGATTGTTTTACTTTCGCAAAATGAGCATCAACAACTCCACAATCGAGTTTTTAAATTCTTGCAAACAACAATTTCACAGTCCTTGACTTCGCGTTTTTCTTCACGACATAACGTCAAACTATCCATTGACAATTTCCACATAAATATTTATTATCGTTTAAATGCAACACAGCGCCAAAGGCGCACACTTGATTCCTGCTAGTTCAAATGAGTGCCGTTTATGATTCTAAATTTTGTACTTAAATTTTTATTTTTATAATATTACTTAAATATTTTACGTCAAATTACAATTTGCAACATAATAAAGCGATTTATATCACAGGCGCAAGTAACCCCTTTTAACCGACTCAGATCTATATCTCACGCATTAATAGCGTGTTATCCAATCTCACCCGTTGGATTAATACATCATCTAACCGTCCATCTCATGCTTCATCTGGCCTATAAAACCAACCAAAGGGCACCTTCCTCCTCCACATGACCGGTTCCCCTTTTCGAATCTCTAGAAACAGAACGAGAATTTGAAACCAAAACTTCTACAAATTCAAAATTCTTACATAAAATCAAATCAAAGATCGCCTGGATCGGATTATTAATTTGAATTTGATAAGTGTTCGGATCATACAATCATCTAGAAATCGATCTGTTTTTTCTGCTAGGTTTAGGGTTTGCTGATTTCCGATGTACGATTTAGTCTTTCATCTCGTGGTAATTAGTAGCTTTTTAATCTTGGTAGAAGTTTCTGTCTGTTGATTTTTTTTACGTTTTCCGATCGCGAATTGGTATTTTAGGGTTTTAAAATTTTCGTTGTTGTGAATCGTCATCGGAGTTCGGAGTCGAGATGAACGATCAAGCTCAGATGATGAATCAGTCGCAGCAGCTTCCGATAATGCAATCCCATCGGTTGATGAATAATCAGAACTCCCAGATGTTGATGAATCAGTTAATTAATCCTTCTCTTGTGATGATGAATCAGTCACAGTCGCAGGGGATGTTGAACAACCGAGGTGGTCGTTACGGGATGTGGCCGCCGGCGCTACCGGAGCAGCTCAAGTTCCAGAATCCGAACACGAAACCTTCAGGTTTTGTTCCGTCTTCTTCAAAACCTATGGGGCCACGAAACAACAAAAACTGGAAGGGGAAGAAAGGAAATGACAAACGGAATAACAATAATTGGAACGAATTAGGCAATGTTGGAGTAGGTAATTATAATCCGCCTACTCTCAAGGAACTACAGCAACAAAATCGATTGAAGGCCAGAAGATACTTTTCGAAGAAGAAACACAATCATGGTGGTAAATCAGCTCCTTTTGCTCCTAGAAACACTACTTCCTTCCTCATTCGTGCAAAAAAAGCAGGAGGGATTACATCTCTGGTTTCGCCATGTCCTGTTACTCCTTCTGTACTCCCTACACCTATTTTTTCTCCATCTCGAGAGGTTTTAGTTGACATGGCGAAAGAAGAATGGGGTGTTGATGGGTATGGGTCCATGAAAGGGTTAATCAGGCTTCGATCTCCTGGAAATGACGAAGAAGATGAAGAAGGTGGATCAAGTGAAAGCGATGTTGAGGAACATTTGGAGGTGGAGAGGAGATTAGACCATGATTTGAGCAGATTTGAGATGATTTACCCAAACCACGGTGGTGCTGATCATAATAGCTATCTTTTGGAGAACAGAGTTGATGATCAGGATACACATATAGCTCAACTGGAAGAAGAGAATCTGATATTGAAAGAGAGATTGTTCTTGATGGAAAGGGAGTTTGATAACTTGAGGAAGAGGTTGCAGAGTTTGGAAAGGGGAATGCAAGGAGGACAAGGGTTTATGGAAGAGGTTGTTGTGGAGAATGATTCTGAGAATGATAGTGGGAGTCGTGGCTATGGAAGGTCAGTTGAAGATACTAATGAGCTAATGGAAGAGAATGATGATGGAAATGGGAATCAGTCTTCTGAACCAAAAGAATCTAACAATGGTGAAAAGGGTTTGCAGGAAATGGAAGTGTTAAAAGATGTAGGCCTATCAGATGTTCATAAGGAAGATAATATTGTGAAAAACGAAGAGAAGATAGATGTTGAGATTGAAGGTAAGATGGAAGATGATAATCGGATTGTTGAATTGAAAGAAAAGGATAATGAATGAATGAATGAAGATATGGTAGAAGTTGAAAACAGGTGCATGTTTATCTTGTAAGTTCTTGATTTCATGCTTTATTTGTCTTTTTAGGGTTTAAAAAGAATGTGGTTAAGCTTTAGGATTTTGGGTGTTGTGTAAATGTAGTGTTTTTAAATAATGTTCTTCATCCATGTTATCAGTTTGAACTTTGAAGCCTGTGTTCTCGATCTTTTGGCTTCAACTATATGAAAATGGAAGATATAGATGGACTTAAAATGTAATATTGACTTCATTGAAGGTAGGAAAAGGTTGATATTATATTCAAACTGTTGAAGTGTTTTTTACTATTAAAATTATAGCTCTTTTATCACTCTTATCGACTAATTGTTATTTGCCAAATGTTTTTTTTGCCTTTTTGTTTCCGTGTAGTTTTTTGTTAAATATTTTACAGTATATCATTGTAATCCTTAATTTTAAATATTAGGTTCGTACATGTAATAATATTATTATTCATATATTCGAAAAAGACAGTTAATTTTTTTTATATATATTTTTTTGTTGCATTGTATCTCTATAAGATGAGATATGTCAGTGTCGTTGGATGTTGAACAAAAAATGAAGGCTGCTTAGTCTTAAAAACTAAAAAGGAGTTTTGTTTTAAAACGAACAAATTTTGGAATAGGTAGAGGCGAAATAAAATTTAGAGTTAAAACTTAAAAGACTTTTTTACTTTTTTGTATTATAGTGTTTTTTAGGTTACTTGTTTTTTTGAAGTAATTTTTTTAAACATGAGGCACGTTCAATGATAAATTAGATAAGGGGCACATATAAGGATAAATCAGTTAATTTTAAGGAAAAAATAAAATAAAAAAGTCAAATCATTAGAATTTTTTTGATAATATGTTTTGTTAAATAAAAACGATAAAAAGTCAACGTTACAATAAAAAATAGATTTTTACAAGGTGTTAATGATGTCTATGTTCAATTATATTAAAGATTAAACTATAAATATATTAAGGAGTGAACTATAAAGGTAGTTCATGTGGTTTCTCTTGTTACTGATGTCGAATTGTTGATGTTCAAATACATTAAGGATTAAACTATAAATATATTAAGGTGTAAAGTATATAGGTAGTTCATGTGGTTCCATTCGTTCTACTTCAAGATTTTTTTTTCTTACTGTTTAAAATAGGCATGAATAACGATATCTAAATAAACTGGTTGATCTGTTTACATTCAGTTTATCCATTATAATATCGGTTTGGGTAGAAAAGCTAAATTCAGGTTTTTTTTTCAAGTTTTAGACATAAGTAGGAATAGTAATTGCTATTTGTTTAGACACAATGATATTTTTTCATGGTTATTTGCTTCTCTAGGTTTGTGACTTGTATGGGAATGGGCTCAAATTTATCATTTCATGTTTTTTTTTATTTTGTGATTTTTTTTGTTTATAATTTTATCGGGCCAGTTTCACTTATTGATGACTCCATTTATTTTTGTTAGTGTATAAAGTATATGCCATATCAGTAGTCCATTTTCTTGCCTTAGCCCATCAAGCCATATTATAATTCGCTAATTTGTATACAATGAGGGTTTTAAGCTGCCACGCATTTTTGTAATTATGTTACACTTGGACAATTCCATTTTCGGTAACTTTATTTATTTCCCATATAGGGTTATTTTTTAAATTTTGTCTAAGATGGTGATTGTTTGTTCAATTTTGTTAACAATTCTTTAATTTTATTTAACATATGAACATTTTAAATTTTTTTTTTTTATTTTGTCTATTTGAACTATAGGGTTATTTTTGTAAGTTTTTTTTCTCAATACACGGACATTTATGTCATCTTATCTATTTGATAAATATATAAACGAAAGTTAAAAACAAAAAAGGAAAAAAACATAACACTATAGCAATGACACTAACCTTAGAAACATTGTTTGGTATTTTGTAAAATCTTATATAATTATACATACTATTAATTCCTATAACATTGAGGAAGAGTATAATATTATTGTTTTAGAAATTTACCACCATATATTTAAAATTTGTCACTTCTAATCCCTACTCTTTACTAAATTAGTATGCTGGCCCCATATTTTTGAGATTTGCCTCTTCTGATCCCTATGCTTTATAACTTCTTATTCTGAAGGTATGTATGCAAATTTTCTTTATAAAAATTATAAAATGGTTGTGTTGGTAAACATTATTCCATACGTACACTAACCTCCCTTACCCGTACTAAAGTGCGGAGCTTCTCCTAGTTATCATTAATGCATGATATATGTTTTATGGGAAAAAATATTGTCTAATATGGTATCAGTGAGCAAAATCCCTAACCCTATATTTTTGTAAGTTTTTTTTTCTCACATACGGACATTTATGTCATCTTATCTATTTGATGAATATATAAACAAAAAGTTTAATTCACCAAAAACAAAAAAGGAAAAAAAAAAACATAACACTATAGCAATGACACTGAACTTAGAAACATTGTTTGGTATTTTGTAAAATCTTATATAATTATCATTAATGCATGATATATGCTTTATGGGAAAAAAATATTGTTTAATATGGTATCAGTGAGCAAAATCCCTAACCCTACTCTGTGTGTGTTTCCTCTGTACGATTGCCAACTTGCCATCTATGCTTATGCCCCTTACCATCTTATTTATGATTATCGTAGATGACCATGGTCGTCAACTTATCCTCTAAAAAACCTAAGGATATAAACAACAAGGCTTATATTCCCTTGATCCTTGATCTTGAGTGAATGAATTATAATATCTCGTAAGAATTGTTTGAGACTCACTGCATCAGAGTAATAGATCACATCAACGGCTCTAAAAATATGCAAGTAATAAGACCGACTAACCTATAATGGACGAAAACCGAATTTAACATAAAACTCTTGATCTATCATAAGACATATTAGTCTCTACTTAGATGATTGGCAAGGTTGGTCCCTCAACCTTCAAATTTCCTATTTAACCCAACATGACATCCCGACTAACATTTCTAGTTAGTATTCTTCCAAATCAACCTTAAATAATAAAAAAATCTTAAAAATTATTCTATATTCTAATTAATTTGATTTACTCAAATGCAGTGACGGACACAGACTGTTTTAGTAGGGGTGTCCCTCGTCCTTCAAGCGGGTGCACCTAATAAAAAAAAACATAATTTTTTTTTACACTGTGTGCCAGAAATTGAGCAGTGGCCCGGGACCCCAAATGCCTCACTAAGGTTCACCACTGCTCAAATGCTGTTCCTTACTTGTCAAACTTTAAGATTTTCACCTAACTTTTCAACTAACTAGTGAATTATATTTTAATTAAATTATTTTTATTTAACCAAATTAAAACTTTAAATCAATTATTTAAGTTAATTTAATCATTTGTATATATTTTGATTTTGAAAAATCATGTTACTTTGTAAGGAATTTCACATAAAGAAAAAACTTCTAACCCTAAATTGCGGGTTTTACACTTATAACTCATTGCTGTGTGGCAATCACTCTTCACTCACATACTCTTTCATCCACAAAGTAGGTTTCCTCATTTATGTTTCTGCATGATAAATGAGACCTTGAGGTCGGGCTCTACATGTTTGTATACTAGAGCTTGAGAACTCATTACATATTATTTCCTATTTTCCCATGCATATTGATGCGTTTAGCCTTCCTTTGATATTGACATGTTTATTTTCTGCCTCGTTTCATTATTATTTTGTGTGGCATCATGATTTCACTAGTTAACATCATTATTTCCTTCTTTATGATTTGGATCCCAATTCCAATTGGAATTTTATTCAAAGTTCAATGATTTCATCCTCCCTAATCACAAACAAGTTTTTCACTGGATCAAAAGTCCTTTGAACTTTTGATTTATGATTACTAGTAAAAATCTCTTTTGCTACTTTTATCTTGTAACTTAATTCTTTTCTCCTATGATGTGTGAATGTGGAAAATGCACCCAAACAAGTTCTTTCAAGAGTATTTCCTTTCAAGGCAACCATGTAATGATGCTTTTACATGTATACGTAATACTTTACAACTTTCTCGCCATAATGTCCTTGGAACTATTAGACCAACACACCACCCTTTTAATCGAATTCAATACCTTGCATGTTTTTCTCTCGACAATGTCTTGGTTAAGAGATGAAAGCAATAATAAATCATTTTCTTAAGTTCATAATTCATTCATTTCCATATACTATAAAAAAATTATATTTCTTTAGAACAACTAACATACATACATCTTATAGCACTATGCTCGAGCCGTTTAGTTAAAAAAGTTATCTATAAAAACAAATAAATCATTGAGCATAGTAAAAAGAAAATAAAGAATTAAACAAGAGTTATTTATAAGACTTTTATAAGTCAATGAATAAAAATTTTAAACTGTTTTAACATAATACGATATACGTACCAATAAAAGCATTAATGATTGCATATACTTGAATAACAAATACGCTACATATTCTATAAAATTATTAAGGACCCATCTTTTCAAACCTCTCCTGTTGGGCCAGCAGGGCTAATCGATTGGCATGAATCATTGTCCTTTCCTTTGAATAAAACAATATACTTGCCATTTTAAGTAAATTTATATTTTTGGTTCAACAGATCCTTTTAATTCACCGGATATTCATGTAGATCGATAATTTCTGTGATAATTTAAAGAATATTTTACATAAAGTTTATATAAATTATTTTTAAAAAATATAACGTAAATGTTAAAATTGTATGACCGAACAAAGATTTGATTCTGAGCGCCATATGTAAAATAGATCTCTAAATCTCTAATACTAATATATTTAGATAAATACATAATGTATATTTTAGATGTTGTCAATAATTATTTATTCCATATAATTAATGTAAAAAATGACGATAATATACAAAGCGTTTTTATTTTTATTCTAACTTTGACTTTTATTTTTTTAAGAAATATATCATATATGCATGAATTTGGACTCTAATGTTTATGCTTATAAAACTGTTATTTATTATATAATAACTGTATATCGTAATATTTATCTGAATAAATGAAATAACACTGGCTTTTGAAAAATTGAAAGAAATAACATTATATGATAAGATAATTTTTAATTTTGTTATTTATAACTGGTTTTCTGCATTTCCAAAGTCGGTATAATTCTTTCTGTGGACGTCCTTCACTGTTTCGCCACCGGAGATAGAGACAGAGAGGATGGAGGAGGTAAAAGAGGCGTTGTTGTCGCCGAC